CAAATAGGCACCATGGAGTAGTAAACCGCAGTATTGAATTGGGGTGAATTTCAACTAAGGATGTATTTGAGTGTTCCGTGATGGTATACATATTGTGTCTATTTGATCACTTCAGCGAGTACTTACAAATCTTGTTCCCTGTCCAACCACTGGTACAGGAGGTTCCCGTATGAGTCTGATTACTAGTAACTTAGTCCTAGCGACCGTTTATGTACTTCCTATAAATTGTTTAGCCTGTTCTCCTCCGATCGTGACAAGTTTACTTTAAAGGCTTGTTAAACCGGAGTCTCCCAGATTTCTGATTGCGGGACCCACTTCAGTAAATTATTAGATTCAATATGTTCCGACCCAAGACAGACTTATAGAGTGTTTAAAAGAAACCAAGCGTGTCCTGGTAGGTAATCCCAGATATCGGACCTTACTGGCTTGTATCTTGTCCTAATGAAGCGGAGCAAAAGTGGAAGGATTCCGACTCGACAATGGGGGAGGAAGATAGATAGTATGGCCTGCGTGCGTTTTGCGGGGTGGGCGTGGTGTTTTATCGAAGGAAGTTAGCCGTTGTGACTCTAGAAGATGCCATACAAGGGAATAAAGAAAATGGAATCTGAATAGAAAATTGGTATGACCGTTAATGAAATGTGGGGATAAGAGATGGGAGATAATCAGTCAAGCAAAAAAATCAGATGGGCGAGGTCCTTCTAGACATACTTTCAGGACGAGTATCTCATTTCATCCATCACCAGAGATAGTAGGAATTGTCTGTTGGTCTCCTTATTTATCAACTTAGTCACCTTGACCACACCAATAAAAGAGGAATCAACTCTTTCCTCCATCTTGAGTACTGACAGGAACTTGATCCACTTCGGTCAGTCTACCATCCTAGTTCCTAGATTGTATTCCTTTAATCCCTACTGTCCTAGGAAGATGGTTTAGTTCTCGCTGTCCACTTCAAGCTCCTGGTTTTCAGAATTCTAGTCTTTGTCTTCTAAGGAAATACTTTTAACTATAATATTGATAGTTTCAAATATCTGTGAGGATGTTGAACCCAAATATGTTAATGCTTTTTACTACTCTTATTATAGCTGCAGTATCTGATAGGATGGGTTTAGTCAGTACATTGTCAAGGATGGTAAGAACCAGCTCCTCATTACTGAGGCAAAATTTCCCTGAACACTTATTATATAGAGAAGCACTGTACTGTACTATAACTTGATAATTTAGTAACATGACAGTTTGATAGACTCCGGTAATGACTTGATTCATAGATAGATAGGCCAGATCCAAGAGTGTTAACGATAAGAAACTTAAAGTAGATAGCTCAGAAATTTATCAAAGTTGCTTTGGGTACATTTCCCAGTAAGGGACCTGGTAACAAGGTTCAAGGAAGGAACCTTAAGGGCAATGAGAGAACGGTGGGAACAAAATAGGACAAAGGAAGGAACGAGAGAGGAGAATACTGCATCCGAACGAGGACCCGGTTCCAAAGTAAAAACTGGGTAGAGGCACCAGAGTGCTAAGAAATCCTCGTATCAACAATAGTTGTTATAGTATGTTCCAGGGGGTTGTGGAAGGTGGCAGGAAGGTTTTATTTGTATTCTGCCGTCCCTTGGGGAGGGTGGCACTGAGGGGGGGGGGGGGTTGTAGCTGGAGTAGGCTGCTACTCGACCATCACTTCTCTTTTTTTTTTTGATAATGGCCACGTTGTGGGGAGGAAGCGGGTGGATTCTGAAGTAAGACGAGACGTATCTACCGGTATTCACTCGCGCTGATGTCTCGATAAGATACACAAAGGGGAAAGGCTGCATGCCCGATCATAATTGGGTGGGCCTTTGGTCACTATGTCCAAGGGGCCGGACTTCCGCCCTCCCACCCCCGCGGTGCGGTAGCCACCTTATCTGGTACGGTAGTTAAGCTATCGCGCCACGGCTCCCCCAGCATCGTCAATTGTAAGCAGTGCCTCTTATCCATTCCACTTCTCCCGTTACTCCCCCAACCACCCACTGCCGCTCGCGAGTGACACCCCATGAAAACACCCTGTGCCCCTTCGGTGACCAAGAGAGCAAGTATCATACGGGTAACAACTCGCCCTCCTGAAACACGGCATTTCGGAACTTTAAACAGCTCCTGTTGAACCTCACCTCATGACCGGCAGCGCATTACGGTCCGCTGTCGGCAGTAGCTATGTGCCCGGTAGCTGATGGGGGTTCGGGCCCCCTGGTATGATATCGTAAGTTTTATACATTTCCTGGTCTTTGGCAGGCCCTAGCCGATGGCTTATGGTTATAGTGCAGGTGGGAAATGTAGGAATTACCTACTTTACTCTCGTACCGTTAGAGCCCTACCCGCTCCTCACCTCTACATCCACCTCTAAACCGGTGTGATCAATAACCACTTGAGGACGAGGCCGGTTAGGCACTTAAGCTCCCGCTGCGGAATTTCCTTCCGGTTTCGCAGAGTAATGGCCCTCTGAATCCCCCAATCTCCTGCTGGATGGTGAAATTACTCCTTACCATTATGCAGAGCTTCATATCATACTGCATTATGATACCTATACGGGGGATACGTCGCTGGGGTGCTCGGACACCCGGTGTTTGCGCGGCTTCCGATGGGGTGTTCACAGTATGATACCCCCCTCCCCAATTCAACGTTCTACTGGGCGGCAAGGCTAATGGAATACCGCACCAACTTGTAATCCCAACAAACGGCATGCGTAGCGCTCACGGTCACGCCCTGGGTACCGCGCTTACGAAGGCTGCATTTGGAGGAGCTTTCGCCGAACAGTGGTGTATTTAGCGAGGTATGGTAGTGCAGTTTGTGTGGTCGTGAAGACTACCCCCGGGGGAAGATGCAGAAGCAGCAGTAGGTTTGGCTACCCGGCAAGAAAAGCGAATTTCGAAGTGTGATCTCATAGTACAAGTATTCACCTGTGCACACCACACGGTCTCATGATTATCAGTCTTCTAATTATACAATTGTTCTCTGTTTTCTGAAACTCTACCTTATCTTACCCTAGCCCCAGAGAATATTTTGCTCCTTCAATATTAGTGACTTTCATTTTTTTGGGCCTTCGCCCTTACCCTCTCTAAAGCTTTTCCGTTCCAACTGTCCCGGCTGTTCTGAGGACAGCCTTGTAATAATTTATAGAGTCTAACGATAGTACTTGTGGGAGGGGTTAGGGTTGTACTTGACTATATTATTGGTAGGGCCCTGGAGGAGATGCTTGCGTGGGGCTTTGCGGGTGGGTGACCGGGGGGTTTTTGTTGGAGGGTATGATATGTGAAGGAGGTGGCAAGGTGGAGGGCTGGAGGAGAGTTGTTTGGGTAGACACGGCGATCGATGAGTCTAGATTCTAGCAGCATTGCAAGGCCATGTTGTGATATCTAGCTTACTAAATACAGGTCTATAGCCAAATTACCGGTGTTCGCCCATTAGATTTCCCCAATCCCGACAACCTCCCACCAACTCCCGGGTCCCGAGTCCCGAGCAAGTGACATCCCATGACGCCATTCTCACTGGGCAAGGACCCAAACTATAGGTAACTATGACAACTTAGTAGAAACCAAGACAAGAACCACCAACCGAGCGAGCTAGGAATAAGTCCTCACCCCGCCGCCGTTAAAATAAGCTTCACGGGGGGGTGATCCCTTCGTCTGTTCCCGATCTCCTTTGCACACCTTTGGAACAAAGAAGGGATATTTTAGTTCAGGGGCCCAGCGATAAGTAGGACTTGGCCAACGGGTTGTTGAAGAGGATCTATGAACGATGTGAGGCGATTTTTGCCACTATCCTTTGCACCGCATAGGCCAACGCTGTTAGTTCAAGTGCTTGGAAACGTACGAAGGGATCCACGTCTCGGAACTCATTAAAGATAGTGTCTGGATCAGGGTGATTGAAGAAACAACCCCGACCGACCGGCTGACGGGATCCAACATTTGCATGCCGGCACACTCTGCTCGCGATTTTGGAATGTATGGATGCCAGCCGCGGTGAACAGAACGGAGTTAATCAGCAATCTAGGGTTCTTTGTTCTGAGATTGATGTAAGAGAAGAGGTGTAACCCCTCGAGTCTGGTAAGTTCCACGCTTACTAGGGGAGCTAACGATGCAGTCCCTTCCCACGTTTCTTGTTGGGGTTGCCCCCCTGGCATAAGAAAGGCCTAAGTCCGAGTTCTGGGATGATCATCACCAGTGCGCAAACTAGGCTACCGGCCGATTCAAAATCCCCGCGCGATTCGCCTCCGTCCCAGCAGCAGCTACTGCTACCGAATACGGTACTCGAGTATGCCACTGCGTCACTAGGCTATAACAACTGTCTCACATTTCGGGCGCTCCTGCGCTCGTGCATATATTCTGTCGCCACGGGCAGTAGTACCAGCGACCGACGCGTCAAGGTAATCGCCAAAGTGGGACAGAGCCGTTATCACCGCCGGCGTTCGCCATGGAAGAATTGCTGTAGGGAGCAGGACGAGTACACTATTTGTCAGAATGTGGCGAGGATGCGAAATGCAGATGGATTGCGCAGGTGGGAAAATGGGAAAGTATATCGACGGTCTGTTTCGTTTGGTTCGTCCGCGTCGCCGACTAGCGGAAGGTCCTCCGCCCCCCGCCCTGTCCGAAGTCGGGTGGGAATAAATGATGTGATATAATTACCCGCGAGATGTGGACCCTGCGTCCAGCGGGCTTGACGATCTGAAGGATGAGTAGGTTCCGCGGATGTCATGTGGACACAGAGTGAGCTCTATTCCCGCAAGGCGAGCATATGATACCAACACGGCTGAAAAAAAAATTGTGAGGGAAGATAAGCAAGGACGATGGATTGCTTGGCAAGGCGGATTGAAAACAACTTAAATACCGATGCGCGTGCATTTGATTATGGTGATTCTGGTACCGGTAATGACCAAGCTAAGCATTTTTTAGGACAAGAATAAAGGAACTTGATTTCCCTTTTGGAATTCATCGAGGGAGTGCTGCTGGAGTAGCACAGTGCAGAACATCATGGTTGCCGAAAACTAATTCTCTTTGGTAACTGATGGGTGGGCTTAACTTAACACGTGAGGACGATGCAACCAAAAACCACGGGAAAAAGCGACTTCGACAACGAAATCCATCACCCCCACTGGGCTCCCAGAAAGCAATTAAGACACTGTAAGCAAATATACGGGATAACCTTAGATTTTTAGCAAATTGCCTTCTTTCCTTGATACCCCAAGGCCCACCAACGTTTTTGTGGGTAACCGGGTAATTATTCTAACTAGGGGTATCATAACACCGGTACTCGTATTATCGTGCCTCGCCGCCGATCACTCCCACTCACTTCTACCCGCACCTAGGACCGGTGCCTGAAAACGGGTTAAGGGACCCTTCAAGCAAGATGTTGTTAGGGTGTTGGGTGGATTAATGATAGCCATTCGACGGATCATCTCTCTACATAACTAGAGACGATCCGGCGCCGGATCGGAAAGCGGCTTTCCGCATCTTGGTCCATGTTGGCCATAGACAAGATACCAGAATCGGGTTTACCCCGTTATCGGCGGCAAAATCGCGGCGGGAAAAAAGTGCGCTTTGCACGTTGATAGTGCTTGTATAATATGCCATTGTTATCACACGCCCAGACCTTCCGCCCAATTGCGAGCTTGGCCGTTTCTGCGCGGAAGTACCGTACCCTGCCAGCACAAGCACGAGCACTCGTACTCGAGTACACTGCAGCAGGTATGTCTCTGGGGGGCATTCCATTTCCCGCGGCGTAAGGTGCCGTAATTGTAATAAGGCCAGCACGATACTGGTCGGTAGATAGGTGGTGTTGTATGCGTGTCTTCCTGGATATTTTCTGCCCCTTTCCCAAGGCTTGCATAGGAAGCAAGCTGGGTAAAGTTCCAGGAGAGCTGCATGCCTTTCTATTTTTCTTAGTCCTTTTTCCATCGCGGTGAGGAGCAATACCCACCGCACAGGACACAGGGCAAGAACTTCCGCCCAAAATGAGAGGTGAGTTGTTCATGATTGCATACAGTGGGACGTTAGTCACAGCACATCGCATGGCGGGCAAGTTTTTTTTTTTTTTATAAACCCTCTCTCCCTATTTTTCTGCTGCAGTGCAGCCTGCAGGGCCTGCAGGGCCTGCCAATGAGATCCTCGGGATCTCGAAAACTGCCGAAAAAGCGAGCTTGGGTTCGCCCTGAACAAGCAAGCGAATGCGGATAAACGAGTGGGATGTTCGATGGGGGTGCAGTGAGGTAAACCTTTTTCAACATTGTGGGGAGGAGCGAGTTTCGGAGACAGCACTTGGAGGTGGTTCCTGGTCAGGGAGCCGCTGTGGTGGCTGACCTAACCCTTTTCCTTCACTACCGCACCGCAGAGCTGCGGTTCTTCCGGAGTCGAGCCGGCTGATGCTCCCCGGTTAGTCCAGCTTTAGTTCACAGCATCCCAGCTCAGCGTTGTGTGCTCGGAGCTCTCCCTCGTCTCACAAGGCGCGTCAAGATTTTTTCCTCTTCCCTTTTTTGGGCTTTCTCGTCTCGTCTTTTTTCTTCTTTTCCCCTACAGTCGAATTCGCCCTTCCTCCGCAGGTATCATATTGTTACTTGATATCCTTTTTCTTTTTTCTGCTATCCGACCCGCTGGGAGGAAAGTCTGGAAAGAGGGGGCAAAAACAAAAGAGGGAACAATAGAGGAATAAAGAAAAGAAGAAAAAAAAGAGGGGAGCCTTTTGGCCCAGGAGCTCGTGTTTGCTTGCAGAGACAAGAAGCCCTTTTCCAGGAATTTTTTCTCACCTCGGAGGCGTTTTTTCTTTCCTTCCCTTCTTCCTTGCTTTCTATTTCCTCCTCAGAGGCACATTATCATTTCCTTTCCTGGACCTCTCTCCTACTCCTCACTGCCGTCTTGAATGGTGCGTGAACGAGATAGATGATAGACGGAGAGTGAATTGGGGCTTGTTCTCGGGGGCTTAACATTAACCACTCTGCCCTTCTTGAGAGGCTTAGCAGTTTGCATCCCGCTTTCCTCGACCTTTCCCCTATCTCGTGCCATACTCCAGTACCTTCCTATCGTCTGCGTCGGGTAAACCGCAGTAACAAAGAGCAGCCTTACCGCTCCTCCGTTGTCGAAATAGATTGTCCTGCGTCATTCTCTCTGATACCGCCACCACTGGCAGGTTTGCCCCATACAATCTCATAACGCCGTCCAGAGCTAGGGCTCCATACAAGTAGTCACGAGGAAGAGAATAGAAGGGAAAAAGCGAGAGGTTCAAGGGGAGGAGGTCTGGAGCTCTTCACAGCCTCTACCTTCCCTCTCTGCTCCTTCCTTCCTTCTCTCACCCCCCTTGCCCCATCCCCTTCCTCATCGATCGAGTATGGGGAACCATACGAATGTTGTCTCCCTGGGTGACGTCTATCGTCCTGGTGCTTCGTTAGCACAGGATGTTGTGTTCTACACTCACTATGCCTACCCGGTGTCTCTCTTTTTCTTTTTTCTGGTTGCACTCACTTGGTGGGGGATCTCGACCTCTGAATCTTCGAAACCTACTCCACCGCCTGTTACTGGTATCTACGAGAACGGGGAAAGAAAGAAAAAACGCCGGAGCTCGGGCCGAACCAACGGTGGCTTTTTCGGGAGGATAGCAGAACGATTTCCCGGAGGCGCAAAACCTAGAGGAAAGAAGGTAGCTGATGACAAACTAACTCCGCTAAGAAAGGCTGTGTTCAATTGGTTATTGGTCGGTGTAATTTTCACCTTAGTCGCGAACTCAACAAACGTCATTTTACATGCTTTGACCAAGAAGGGTTGGTGGTGTGGAAAGGATTATGTGGTGAGCAAAATGTACCTTGAATATGCACTTTGGTCATAGGTCGCTAACGTGCCCGGCTTCCATCTAGATCTGCACTGTCTCGCTGCTCTTCATATATGCAATAATCCTTATCTCACAACTCGACAACAACCTTTACCCCACACTCCCCCACCTTGCCTCATGGTTTTTTGGTTTGGTTGGTGAGGTTGTTCTCTTGGTAGCGAACGTCTTCGCTTATGGAGAGAGGCATGGGCCGTTGATTGGTGGGAGTGGTGTAAGTGTGGGAGCTACTAAAAATCGCCTTTCACTGCACAATTGGGATATTGTAGACTTATCTATCGATGCTCTTCGGATTGTCTTCCTCGTGCTGTTGGCCGGGCTATACGTTTGCCTCATCATACTCTCGAAGCAGGAATCTGACGATAGTGACTCGGAGGAAAGTAGTTCGCTTTTGGCCTCCTCTTCCTCATCTACGGTCGATGGTGTGCCAGATTATGGCTCTGTCCCTGCACATGCCCCGGCTGGATGGGGTAGAAGGGCTGTTGTTGGGAAGCAAAGCTGGTGGGAATATGTCCAGGGATACACCATCTTTTTCCCATACCTCTGGCCAAGTAAGGATAGAAGGCTGCAGTTCCTGATGATAATTTGTTTCATACTCATGGTGCTCCAACGTGGTATAAACGTGATGGTGCCAATACAACTTGGGAAGATTACAAATATCCTCGGCGGGTCAAACGGAGAACTGCGTAATATTATCCTTGCCTTTATGATTTCATGCCGTGGCTTGTATGCTTCAGAAGGACTGACCTATCTAATTTCAGCACGCCTCCCATACTTCCAAATACTTCTATACATTGTCTACAGATTCCTCCAAGGCAACATGGGTATTCTTGGCGCTACCCGTAGCATGTTGTGGATACCAATTGGCCAGTATTCGTACCAAGCCTTGTCAACCTCAGCGTTTGAACATGTTCACTCCCTGTCACTCGACTTCCATCTTGGCAAAAAGACTGGCGAGGTTTTGAGCGCCCTCAGCAAGGGCAATGCTATCAATACTTTCCTTGAACAAGTCACATTCCAAGTCGTTCCCATGTTGTTTGATTTGCTAGTTGCGATTATTTACTTCCTTGTCTCCTTTGATGCGTGAGTTTCGAGCATTTCCATGCATTAAGTTACAACGCCTTCTAACTCTGTGGTATCTAGGTATTACGCACTTATTGTGGCTATCGTCACCCTGTGTTATTTGTACATCACGGTGAGGATGGCCCAATGGCGTGCAGATATTCGTAGGGAGATGGTCAACAGGTCCCGCGACGAGGATGCGGTCAAGAACGATTCCATGGTTGCCTATGAAACTGTGAAGTACTTTAATGCTGAGGGTTACGAATTTGGCAGGTATAGAGATGCTGTAAGGGCCTATCAGAAGGCAGAGTACAAAGTTCTCTTTAGTTTGAACGTGATGAATGTCACTCAAAATCTGGTCTTCACCATCGGGCTTGTTGTGGCTTGTTTCCTGAGTGCATGGCAAGTTTCAGCCGGTGAAGCATCGGTTGGAAGTTTCGTCTCCTTACTGGCATATCTTGCGCAGTTACAGGTTAGCAGCTTGCCAAACTTATCTCATGATGCGCTAATCGAACAACCTAGGGCCCCTTGAACTTCTTTGGGACATTCTATCGAAGCATTCAGAGTTCCATGATCAACTCCGAGCGTATGCTTGAATTGGTGAGAAGTCTTTGCCCAGCCTCATCTATTTATACTAATGCAAATATTTCTTGATCTGCAGTTCAAGGAGCAGCCTACCGTCGTTGATGCGCCACACGCCGAGAAGCTGACTAAATGCGAAGGCGAAATTGCCTTCAAGGATGTGCATTTCTCTTATGATGCTCGGAAACCGGCTCTGCGTGGACTTGACTTTGTGGCTAAACCGGGAACTACCACCGCATTCGTTGGTGAGAGCGGTGGCGGCAAGACAACGGTTTTAAGGCTTCTCTTCAGATTTTATAACGTCGAGGAGGGTAGGATAGAGGTTGACGGGAAGGATGTACGGGACATTACGATCGACTCGTTGAGATCTCATATTGGTGTTGTCCCCCAGGATACGGTGCTTTTCAATGAGAGCGTAATGTGAGTTATCCTCATCCTGGAGATCACGAGAATGACAATGGGGGGATATGCTAATTGATTGGAAGGTACAACTTGAAATATGCCAACCCAAACGCAACAAATGAAATGGTCTACGAGGCCTGTAGAGCGGCCAGTATCCATGACAAAATTGAGAGCTTCCCTGATGGCTATCACACTAAGGTTGGCGAACGAGGACTGAGGCTTTCTGGGGGGGAAAAACAGAGGGTGAGAATTACAACCTAGCGACCCTTAACAGCATACTAATAAAGTGGGGTCCAGGTCGCGATTGCACGAACGATCTTAAAAAACCCCAAAGTCATCCTTCTTGACGAAGCCACTGCTGCATTAGATTCTGAAACAGAGCAGCATATTCAGGCTGCACTTAGGGAGCTTGCTAAAGGCCGAACCACCCTTGTTATCGCGTAAGTAGATTCCTTCGTGTTGGCTGTGCTGTTGGTTCCGCGGCTGGGGTTAGCTACTGCCTATACCCCGTATGGGAGATCCCCGGTTCTGTCTGCATCCGTCACTCGTTAATTGTCTGCTTGCTGCTATTGGAACATAACAGCCGGGTATTCGTCAACACGTAACAGGCTAACTCAATGTCTTCCAATCCAAATTTATCTAGTCATCGCCTGTCAACTATCATTGCTGCCAACCAAATTCTCTGCCTCCACGAAGGACAAGTCGTGGAATCCGGCACGCACGATGAACTGCTTGCCAAGAATGGACGCTATGCAATGATGTGGAGAAAGCAAATCCGGGCAGAGCAGAAGCAAAAGAAAGCGGCGATGAAGAAGAACGATGAATCTGAGTCATCAACCGAAGACACTGACGAATCGCTAATCGATCTGGCTCCTTCCTATCCGTCGGGAGTTCCGGGGAATGACGATAGCATGTTAGAGAGCGAGTCCGTCACCCCGGAGATGATTGATACACCCCCCGGCGAGCTGAGCACTATGCCGGCAATCGCTAGTGCGCAAAACACTGTCGGCGGAGGCCCCAGCACCATGGAAACCGAGGTCACTCCCAGGACAGCCGCTGCCGAGATAGTTGGGGGGGAGGGTTCAGTATTGGGCCGAGCGGCTAATCCACCGGCGGGTCTTGGATCGCTTTCCAGAAAAGGCAAAGGCAAGGATCGGGAAGGGCTGAGGAGAAGTGGTAGCACACTATCAACGAGCGCTAGTGGATCAGGTGGGGAACCACGACTAATCTCTCATGGGGGATGGACCGCTCGAAACCTTAAGAGGGCGTTCAGCCTCAAAAACTCAATGCTCCATCGGAAGTCCGCAAGTTTTGGCGGAAGGGGTAGTCCGAGTGGTAGTGAGAGGGGCAGCGAGAGGGGAAGTGAGAGGGGTATCGACGATAAATAGTTGAGACAACGCTACAAGGCGGGGAAAATAAAATTGGACCATGACGAGCGAGATGGCGAATATAACGATGGGTATGGGTGCCGGGCCTAAAGCGGAGGAGGAACAAGAGCACGCTCAGAAGCTTATCCTGTGATAGATTTTGTTGTCGTTTGGTTTTCTTTTTTCTATTTTTTCCTTCTCCCTTTCTCATCAGCTAACGAAGAAATGATTCAGCCATCTGAAAACGAGTCGGATGCTTGTACGAGTTTTATTTATACTAAATTTACATTGCAACGAGGCGATTGGTGGGTGGGGACGGGGGTATGGAAATGGAAATGGAAGAGGAGCTTATCACGGCTTGGACCATTTTTAACGAAATCATTGTCCGATGTCGACTCTTCCCGCTTTTCTTTTCCCCCCCCTTACCCCTCGCTCAGACGTTCTTTTGCCCACATTATCTCTCTCCACCAGCCCACCTAAATAATCTGGCCATGTGCCCTCTCTTTTCCTCCATGTCCATTAACGAGTTTTCCTTTCTTTTTCTCTCTCCTTCGCACAGTCATATTCTGCACTCCCAACGGCGGTGCAGGGGTGTGGGGTCAAAGGTTGTGTCGCGCGCGCGCCGTGACCCGGAGCAGCATGGTACAGTAATTAATCAATCACGAAGTAAATACGGGCAAATAAATAAAGGTTACCGTCATGCGCACCATACTTGTACACGGGATGATGCTCGTAAGGATACGGAAGCGATCGGAAAGACGAATGATGGGAGGCCATAGACTACCGTAAGCACAAGTCAAGGGTCGGAGGCGGTGGCGGTGGAAGTGCAGAATAGGGAAATAAATGTATGATATTGCATCCTTCTCTGCCCTTCCATCTCCCGAGCCCTTGAGCACAGCACGCACGGCGTGGTACTGCACTCGTACGGTACGGTACCACGAGCGATAAGCAATCTGCCCTATCCGGATGGTTCTACACATAGTACCGCCGTCGGCAAGAGCACCGTACAGTATCTCCGAACACACACGCAACGGGACGGCGAATACGGTAGGGTTGGCGGTGGTGGGCATTCCCGATTCTGTAATGTCCTGTCGAGCAGAGAGCACAGTAGAGAGGGCACAGTACTTGTAGAGCATCCGGCGTGTATAAATTTATGTGTGTGTGGTGCACGAGCACGAGTAACTTATATCTATTTATCGTGCGGCCGTCTGCGGTTTAGTGGACTATAAGTTATCATCATACAGGTAAGAGCTATTATAGTTAGCGAATGCACAATAAGCTCACGTAATCCATCTTCTGCTAGCTAGGGCGGCACGAGCAGTAAGAGTAGTCTAACTTGAGTCGAGTGTCCGTCCACTAAATTACTCGTAGTCTACACTCCACTAACTCCGGTATGAAGAAGAAGAAGAAGAAGATTCTCACGGTAGTGGCGTGGCAGGGTTCGGAGTCGGGCCCCTTGGCGATCACGGTACAGTGCGCAATACGTACAGTTTCGTCGCTTCTGGAAATCCGACTTGAACTTTGCGGAGAGGATCACGGTACCCTTCCGTATTTGCGAGTGGGTTTGAGTAACCGATACCGTACCGTACTGTACTGTACTGTACTAGTAACCGATACGGTATCATAAGCGGTACCTACGAGCACGAAGCCGGGTATGATACCAGTATCGTACAGTACAGTACAGTACAGTACAGTACAGTACTCGTCGTATTATACCGGTACGTCGGAGTCGAGTTAAAGCCGAACAGGACGCCCGAGGGTGGACGATTTCCCGTTCCGTAAATCGTACTCGAGCACGATAACAAAGTGTTAACGACGAGAAGGGCAAGTATAGATGGACCGTTTTTCGGATGTATCTGTAGGGATATTTTTTTTTTTTGGGGGGGGGGGGAACTTTCATCGCGATTTTACTTACTTGTATTTCTACTGTATTTTACGATAACTGGAGGGAGGGAGGGAGGGAGGTTACTTGGGAATGTATTGTACGATGGCGGGGTTCGAGAGGGTTACGAACGCGGTCACGAGTTAGCGGTGCGAGTATTATATAGTCTATGGCCCCCTACGAGTGCTGCACAGTACAGTGCCACGGCCCTGCGAGAGAAAACCACGATATGATACCGTCTCGGGATGTCTGGATCGTTTGCAAAGTTGGCTCCGTAAGTTAAAGCTGACTTGACCCACGGATCCGGAGACGGACGGATGGACAGATAGCTCCCGAGCACGGTACCGGTACTGCTATACAAGTAGGATTGGTGTTTTCATGGCGAGGTACTGTACTAGTACGGTACATACCGATATAACTTGCCATACTCGTCGTATATAGAGCAACACGCGCAGGATGAGTGGGGTTAGCCGGCCCAATGGGAGTGGGTGGATCCTGTTAGAACCAACCGGTATCATACAAAGTTTTTTCGCATTGTACAGTATTATAACTATGCTAACCTAAAGCCCCACGGTTGGCTGACGGGCTTTCTTCCTTTTTTAGCGAATAATCGGGTATGTCATACCCACTCGAGTACAGTACGGTACAGTACTCGAAGGTAGGCTCACGAACGGGGTGGGTGTGCACAAGGAGAGTAAGACGGGTGACCAACAAGGATCATTGACGGTACGAGTACAGTAACCGTAGAGCGTCGGCAGGCGCTCTGCACTGAGTCTGCAGCACATTCTCACAGGCAACGGCTGAGGTGAAAAGCTACAATTGCGTCAGAATGGGGGGGGGCTTGAAAGGCCACACCGTGGGGTACGGGACCCGTAAGTCCTGGTCATGCAGTTAGGTAGGCGGTATGGCGTTATTTTATGATTTCGAGGCAAATTATACATAAATATTATTATCATAATATCGTATCTAAAGGGCACCGCACTCCGCTTGCTCTTCCTCGCCACATGCCGGTAATGCGGACATTCTTTGTTGTAGCACTTGTATCGTACCCTACCCCGACGGATCCGGTTCCCTCCGCCTGCCAAATAGGATAATCAATCCCTGTTCATGATCGCACGGCCGTTTTGTTTCTTTGTTCCCCCCCCCTGCCCGCGTTGGGGGGGATTCGGGAAGTACCGCGGGGGTGGGGTTGGTGGGGTTTGGCAAGTGCGCGACACGGTAGCGAGCAGCGTACTGTGCAGCACTCGAGTAGCGTGCTTGTAAGGTACAAGTACGGTATTGGTCAGGGTGTCACTTCCCGGAGAGGAAAGGTAATGATGGTGGATGGGTGAGGGGATGAGATGCGATGGATGAGATGGGAGAAGAGGATCGCAGATGACTCAGATGAGGTGAGAGTATCGGATGGAGGTTTGGCACGCGAACCTTTCCCATGTCATGTGCGGGGGCGATTGGTGATTGGGGGGTTGGAATGGGTATGAAGTGTACTGTGGGGCATCGTACTGCCAGGAACCGTGGAGCGCAGAGAGTGCCGCACCTTAGTCCTATTTTTCGATTGGTACCTATGTACGAGTAACTTGAAGGGCCGTCATCAAGAATGCTTTGTTCGGGTCCACCACAATAGATCCGATAACAGTATCATACTGTATGATGCCATAATTTACATGAAACTGGAGATGGCGCAAGAAGGGCCGAGGTAGCGTGCGGTAAAAAAACAAAAACAAAAACATGGTACTCGTACAGTACCGCAGAAACAGCGCTGTGGCCGATTGTGTTATCGTCAAAGTCCAACTCCTACCGTATCAGACCTCGCCTATCGAGCCACACCTTATCTGAATTCCCTCGTTGCGCGCTACCCGCAGTTTTTGCCGGTTATTGTACAAGTAACGAGTTATTTTGCACGCGAGCCACTCCGTGGAGGGGGGGGGGAAGGGGTCATGATATGATACAACACTTGCCCCCCCTCTCGCTTCCGGCGATGTACCCGCGAACTAAACTCTGGTTATCCGTTGGTTTTGTTGTCGATACCGTCCGTGTATAAGTGCCCGTGTGGTGCTCGAGCACTTGTGCTCTAATTTAGTAAGAAGCTCTAACCCCCCCCCCTCCAAGAAACCAATGTGCTACAGGCGGTACCGTATCATACACAATTGGCACGACAAGTTAACAGTTTCCCCATATATCGATCACCCTTCCCCCCTACCCCCCGGTATCGGGATGCCGGATATACATAGTATCATACTCGTACAAGTAACCCCACCCCGCTCACCACGCCGCCGGGGCGCTCAAGCCACCTTCCAACTCTAGCCGACATATTACCCCTGTCACTATCACAGCGCCCCCCCCCCCCTTACCAACCAATCAGGTACGAGTACCATTGGTACTATTAATAACAACAAGCCCATTTCCCGACCACCACCACAACCGGACAGGAATAGAAACTGGCGATGGTATTCTGGGCGTGATAATATTGATAGAACCGTTTCGCCCGTATCTAGGACAACTGCACCCCAAAACGCTGGGAGAGAGCACCACGTGAGACCGGTGAGGAACCAGAGCTGGGGAGAGAAAAGGGAGAGTACCTACGCTACTGTGACTCGGAACAAGTTATGGGGGTCTGGTAAATGCGCAATTGTACCATAGTCTTGCTGATAATAAGTACATGTACAGTACCCCCCCACCTTCAGAATCTCGTCCCTCCATCACCTCCCTCTCCCTCTTTCCCTCTCCCCCCCCTCTTTTTCCGTTTTCCCCTCTACCTACTGTACTTATTCCTCCGCCCATCCGCGAACGCACGGCGCACAAGGCGGGCACGGGGTGCACACAACTAATACGAGCCGTGTTGATTACGGTATTCCACCTGCTCGACTGCCGGTTTCCTGTGCGTCCTCCTTATCTATCTATACCTACATACGCCTTCCGGCTTTGTCTCCACCCACCGTGCAGTTGCTCACACACGTACGTGCTAATAGGTAGGCACCTTGGATCCGACTGGCATCGGAGGGCGGTTGCGCATTTCGGGCTTATCCCTCGGCTTGGCTGCGTCGGGCTGTACTGGTACGGTGGGATATCGTGTGCTAAATTTGAAAAGTGGAAGAAAAAAAAAGTGGGTGCCAGTCTTTTTCTTCTTCCCCTCTTTCAACTTCCCTCTGTTTGGCCCTACTTAAGCGTTGTTGGAATGCTGCGCTTTGGCGGGTTTTTCGTGGGATGGATGAGCGAGTGTTGAGACTGGTGTAGGGAGGATATATCGTCCGGCTTTTTCGTCCCTTTTCTCGTCGACCTTTCGCCATTTGTTGTTCGCCTCGGGTTTGGGGGGTTTAGCGGTACGATACGAAACGGAACCGTGGTTGGGAATTAAGGCTTGGATCCACTCTACAGCCCTCTATTCTGGTCCGACGAATGGTTATTGGGTAGTGAGCCTACTCTGGTGGTTGGAAACCTTTTTATCTATATTGCATATATCCGCTCTTGGGCAGGCGGCCTAGATTCAAGGTGTGTTTTAAATACGTCTTTTTCATTCATTCATCCATCCATCTATTCACCCTGCCCTGGGCGGCACCTCGGCCTTGGATTGTGTGGGGGGTTATTTCATTGTCCTGCTTTGTTTCCTTTCGAACAATTTCGGAAACACCTGTCTGAAAGGGGATCTATCTGTTCACCTGGATTCCGGTTTCCCGACCGGTCGCCACCAGCGCACGTTCAAATAACTCATTGGCAGCCTTGTTGTCGCACAAAAATTTCTGACCAAGTCTTCTCTTCTCTTCTTCCCATAGTAGCCATGTTGCACGGACGATTGTCATCATCATCATCATCATCATCATCATCACCATCATGGCCAGGACTCTCTGCATTGCTGATCACCGTCCTACTACGCGTCCCCGTTACATATGCATATTCGCCGCTCCAGGCCAGACAAGGAGGCCACCTACAAGGGCACGATTTCCTGCCAGAGTGCGCACGGAAGTGCGTGGATGACACCATATCCCGACAGCCCCGGTTCCAAGGGTGTGACGGCCGACTCGAGTGTCTGTGTGGGGAAAATCCTGAGCCCTATCGAGAATTGCTCTGGTCTTGCATCGACAACCCGAAAAATTGCCCTCCGGAAGCCCACAAGAGTACAGAGTCTGCTGTCATGCACGTGTGCGACGGAGTACTGCCAGTGTCGTTGTCGTCGTCTAATGCCACGGCGTCTCCGACTTCGATAGTGCCTGGGTCCACATCCCCCGCTAGGACCGGTGTCACGCAGTCCGCCACAGAGCACCCAGCAAGGGAGGAGTCCGAGAATGGTTCGGGGCTGTCCCCCGCCGCGATCGCGGGAATATCCGTTGGCGCGGTGGCGTTGCTAGGGTTGACTGTTGTGGCCTGCTTCCTCTCGACCATAATGCGCAATAGGAGGAAGCACAGAGAACAGGCACACTCCATGGTCCTCGAGCCAACGTCGCCTCGTGGCCCAGGCGGGGGATGGAAGGTTCACGGAGTGGACCATTCTGGGTGGCCCTCCATAGACTCCGTCGACTCCAACTCGAATGCTGGCCACTATTACAACTCCAAGAGTCTACTAACGCCCATCGTCACGGATATCCCGACCGAGAAGAAAGGAGCTCCAGCCATCAACATCTCACCGGTGTCGCCCGTAAGCCCGAGCGGCAACAGCTCTGATGCTGCTGTTGCCGCTCCACCCGCACCAACTAGGGTGGTCGCATCGAGGAAGATAATCGAGAACCACCATCTCCAGATCGATATGCCTCCACGTTTTGGCCTCACGCCCCCCACTCCTGCAGCGCACGGGAGCGCGGAGGAGCTAGTGTCGCCAGTCTCCCCCGTGTCCGACTTCAACCGTGCGCGGCTAGCGAGGGCCTCCTCAGGCTCGGTATCGTCGGCAGGCTCCTACCACGAAGCCCTTCCGGGTCAAGCCTTCACAACCGACTCGAGGAGCGTGCGATCGATATCGCCGCCATCGCTGGAAGGCTCGAACCGTCACACATGCTCCGCCGCGACAATGCCCCGCATCCAACGCGAGCGCACCCCGGAGCCCTCAACCCCCCCACCCCAATATGCGCTTGCAAGACCAACGTCATCGGGCAACACCGACCCGGGGAGATCCTTGAGAAAACCACCAGCCGCGGCAGCAACGGGCGGTGGAATGGCCAGGACAGACTCGATAGCCTGGCGACGGGAATTGGAAGAGGCGGCAGAGCGCGCCATGACCAGAGTGGTACGGTCGGAGCAAAGCATACAGGAGGAGGGCGCGGGCGAACGGCGTCGAAAGAGCAGTATCCCGGGATTGGACCTGTTCGCCAGGCGTGCGAGTCGGGATAGCAGAGGCGACGAAGAGAGCGGTCCCGTGAACAGTGGTGAGACTGGCTCGAGCTTCTGGAATCGAAGGGGCCGCGTCAGCACACCGCCTCGGAGCCCCGGCTTCTTCAGCCCAGGACGGCGAAGAGATAGCGGCGCAACCGGAGGGGGGGCGTAAGCGGAGCAGCGCCGATGTACTGTACAGTAAGGCACCGCTCCTCCAATCGGGAGGCCACTTTACGAGAGACGTTATATGTAGATGTAATAAGCGGGTCGTGATTGGTGGGGGGTTTTTTTGCTCATCCGAGCGTGTTTCTCTCTCTCGGGGAATACTGTATCATAGCGTATCAGGCGAAATTCAGGCTGTCGCGTTTACCGGCGGTGTAAATAATATGAGCTATTTTTCTCTCTCTCTTTCCCTCCCGGTATCCAATCCTCTCCCTTTTTCCCCTCTCGTTTCTTCCGACTCTGGATGCGACGAGGTGGTGGAGATGACCCCCTGTATATTTGCCCTCTACGTACTTGTACAGCACTGTTGGTATGTTACATTTTTGGCGATCCAGACCTTGGACTCGAGTGGAAACAACTTTTCGTTCGGAGGAGTCACTCTTGATGTCGTCGGCTTTGTAGATGGAACAACAAACCACCGGTGCCATACCTGGGGGCGGGGGCAAATGGTTCCTCCATTCCTCCCCCCCCGCTCCTTTTTCTTTCTTTCTTTCTTTCTTTCTTTCTTTCTTTCTCTCTCTCTCTCTTTCTTTCTTTCTTTTCTTTCTTTCTTTCTTTTCTTCTTCTCTTCCTTGCTTTCATCCCCAGTTGCATGCGGCAGTCAGGGCACCGTGTCATGTGCTCACCCGTCGGTCTACGGTATGGGTAACTTGACTGTAATCCTGGGCAAGCAGCAAACGGGAGTTCCGTCATAACTCGCAATGCTCCAGCGCGGGTAGACTACCGGTACCGCACAGGCACCGTGATGATAATGCCGGTGGTGCGGCATGGTGCCATCATATCTTCGATAGGATAGTTTCATCAGTCCTTTGTCTATCCTCAGCCGCAGCGTTGCGGAATCTGCCTTGCCTGACCTCGGCGCACTAGGTGGCGGATGCCGTTGCCAGTGGTTGATGGCACAGTGGTTTGCCAGGGAGCCCAGTCAGTCTTCAAGTACCGGTATGTGGTGCGCCAGCTCTCCGGTCTGGCTTGCCGCCCTTGTCCACCACCGTACTCGAGCACAGTACAGGGGGCCAGTCGGTCGCCACCGGGTCGGCTGGTTTGCCAGCGCTGTGAGGTAGGGAAGGCTGGATGTGCCACCACTGCCGGCATCCCAATTCGATTCTCGGAAGTTTTGATCCTTGGTCCGCTTGCGCTTCCCTACCGCAGGGGGAACGACGATATCTACCGTGAATCCTCGATTGCCCTACTGTGTGCGTGCTGTGCCCGCCGTCGTACCACCCGGTGCTGTACGTCCTGGGCCATACTGTGGATGGATGGCAGATTTGGACGGGTAAGAAGGGAAAGGGGAGGGGAGCTGGTTGCGGTTTAGAGGTGTTACCTGTAATATACCTACGGTTGCGGGACTTGAGCATGGAGAGGGACCGGGTAGCGTGCCTTTTGCTGCGATGACAATAGGATACTTTATCCCTGGTCAGTGGCGCTTCGCCTGTAAATCACGGTACGGTACTCGAACGCAGCACTTTGCGCACTTCTCGCATCCCCCGAGAGGGGCGTGACTGAGCACAGTACTCGAGTACTCGAGTACCGGTACCGGTAACCGTCCCCCAAGAACCGACGTTAGTTATTTCATCCGGTGTAACCCTCATTGTGCGAGTTCAAGTACCGGTACCGTAGTCTACGGTACGGTACTCGAGTAGTGCCTCACTGCCTCAACTATGGCATCCCACCAAGAAGAAGAAAAAAGGAAAAAGAAAAAGAAAAGGCAAAAAAGAAATGAAAAGAAAGAAAAGAAAGAAAAAAGTAAAAAAAAATGGGCGAGAAAAAAAACCCCTACAACTATTATCATTTCCAAGGATCAAAAATTCTTGCAGCGGATGGTACATTACCGGTAACTTGCCGTACTCGAACAGAGCAGATGTGACCGGTCTCCTCCCTCCCGAGGAGCAAGAGGAAGGAAGAGAGATATGAGTTAGGTTACTCAAGCAAGGGACTTTTTCACCGCGATCGTTAGCTGTAAATCGATTTGAAATGCCACGTACTATAGCGTGAGGAAAACTTTTTTCTTCTCTTTCTTTCTTTCCTTCTTCTCCCTCTCCACGGGAGAGGGAATCAAGTGCCGAACGGTAGGACATCTCTGGTCTTGCAAACGGATGCCGCCCAACTGAGCTCGATCACCAACGCTCCCGACCGCTGGGGGGAGAGGGCGCTGGGCGGTAGGGTAGTCGAGCACCTCCCCGTTACATCCAGTCCTGATACACCTCCGTTGGTCAAGGTCTCAAATACCGGTTCGTGGCCAGGGAAGCGGCAGGATGGGCACCGCACGCTGAGACCGAAACCTGAATGGCCCTATCACACGAATTACCGTAATTGAAGGTTGACGGAGGCACGCCTAGGCGGACCAGTCACCGAACCGTTCAGGCGGAAAAAAGCTAGGACCCGGGGTGGACCCGTTTGGTACGAGTACTCTACTCTACTCGCACGAGTAGCATCATCCTCCTGCGTGTGATAGAATAATTACCGCCATCATACCACAGCGGTATGCTTTATAAGGGCCATGCCCCCCCCTTGTCAGATTAGGCTTTGCGCCATCAGCATCCTATCTCTCGCCTTGGCCTTAGCATCTCCACGGAATCGGCTACCGCTATCATCCATCCCTTTGTTCCCATTTCTCGTAACCATAGATACCGTACACTCTCTCCCCATCTCCCCCAAACCTCTACCTACCTCCCCCCCCCCAATTCCACCTTTTTCCATAATATCTAGACAGCCGTACACATTCTTTTGGGATCTTCATATAACCTCCCCCGCCTTCCCAGGCCATTAGACATCTTATATTGTTTACCACTCTCCGCTAGCTGCCGCCATGGCCAAAGCAGCACAACACCCAAACCCCGCTGCTTCCTCCGTCCTGGGCCCTGCTCAAGCTGAAGTCATGAGCCCTGCACATGCCGAGCTTTTGGAGCAATTCCAGACAAAATTAAGGGAAGAATTCCAGCTTCGGTCACAAGCAATGGTGGAAGAATTTGCGCGGGAGCTGAAACACTTGACTGAATTCGATGAGGATAGCTCTTGCTCCACCTCTTCCTCCTCGGAGCACGCCGGTAGTGACAGCGAGCGATTGGAGGAGCCGGATGATGAGGAGCCGCTCTCCCCACCAGCGGACTCTAACAGGGGATTCCGCGAGGTGGGCGTGCCAAAGCCCAAATCCCTGGTTAATGGAAGTTTATTAAAGAACCCGTCAAAATTAGAATCCGGGGAGCAGAGTAAAAAGAAAAGGGTCACTGTCAACGGGGTTGCCAAAGCCGATACAAATGAAAGCTCCGCTGTCGAGATGCCGGGACTTGACCTATCACAAAACGTTGGGGGGATGCTCTTGGACGGAACCATGGTGAATGGCGATGGCGAGGCAATAGACAAGAAGGAGCGCATTAGATGCAGCAAATTGGAATTCAAAAGACTTGATGAACTGTAATTCTCCGAATTTGGTGTGGGGGTCGAAATTTAGAGATGTTACGGATTGCTGATTCCTGGTCAAACCAGATACAACAAGACAACGCATGATTTTTATTTCGCAGAATCCTCGCCATCTCCCACAGGCAAAGAGGATAAATGGGAGGAGTTCTTGTTCGTGATACGCCGAAGATTTGGTTTGGAAACCCCCCCCCCCCAATTAAAAAAAGAAAGAGAATCCGGTGGAGACTAACGTCTGGTAATTTGGGGCTAGATTGGCAAAACAAATACCAGAAAACCTACGTTGATATCAAGAGTATAGAAATCCGGACAGTCCTGAGGGAGATCCTGAAGGACGTCTCTGGAATTGGGCTTCGGGAGGATAAACCCACGGTATGTTACTGGTTGCCTCCTTCTGCTTCATTCACCCCCCTCCCCCCAAACCCGGAGCGCTAGGAAGGGGCTGGTATTATGATATGCTGTTGTTTTGTGTGCTAGCTAATAAACCCATAGGTCGAGCCGAATCTCCTATTCAACTATCTGCCACAGCTCGAGAACGAGCTTGCAAAGGCGAGGGCTGTTCCCGAGGGGCAACAGAACAAGACCCTCATCTCCCATCTCACTCTGTTCAACGATTATATCACAACCGACTATGCCGCCACCATCAAGAGGCTCTACCCTCTTTTGGAGCATCACGAGATTACTTTCGACCTCCTCTGGGCCTTATTCCTTCCAAACACCCTGATTTACACCATATGCGCTGGCTCTAGCGAGCCGAGATGCCTCAAGCTCGACTGGGGTGAGCAGAAGGAGACCCTGGACCGTGGTAAATTCTTCCAATTGGATTGCCGCTACGTTGACTACGACGGCAAAACCTATGGGGAGGCGGGTGCCGTTCTCGAGATTGACGAATTCAGGGGAGCGAGAAGAATCGATAGCCTTGGAGTATTCCCCTTGGCGTATCACGAGGACGAAGAGGATGTCAGAGAAAGGCTTATTGAGCGCGGAAGAAAGTTCGGATCCCTAAAAGGTATGCATTACAAGTATTATAAGGGTCTCGCTTTCTTCAAGCGTAAGAGAGGGGTTGTGAAGGTAAACGTGAACGGACGCATTATGGTTGATCCGAGCACCTTCAGAAGGATCAATCCCAACTATCGGATGAGCCCCGTAAAAGAGTCTTCCCCCCACACATCCCCCGCCAACGCCGAAGATGATTCGGAGAACGAAAACGAGGATGACGACGATGATTGCGGGGGGGGCGATGATGAAGAAGATGGCGAGATCAACAGCTCTAACAGCGTGGTCAAACCTAAGCAGAGCGTTGTGTCTGCGGCTGGAAGGCGAGCGATTGGGACAAAGCCCCAAAGAGGCTACATACTTGGCCCTGATGGGAAGATCAAGCTAGTGGGCGCAACCCCGGGCGCAATCAAGAAGAAGCTTCTAGAGGCCGGAAAGACTGCGGAAGGTATAAAGGATGCACTGGTCCCGGAGGAGATGACAGAGGAACAGCTTCTCCTATGCTCGCCTACAGTACTGGGTTTCAGCTTTGGGGATAAACTATGGGGTAAGTTATGCCATCGATCAGCCCACTGCACATAGCGAAAACTAATGTCGTATTGGCGTGCGCAGCGGAATTTGCGGTCGAACATGTCAATGAAATCAGGTTCAATCCAGACGCTTTCGAGAGCCTTGTTCTCCCCGAAGCACAAAAAAAAATCGTCAAAGCACTAGTCGAAAGCCATACAGGTAATCGCGGGTCAAGGCTTGGGATAGACGATGTGATAAAGGGGAAGGGG